CTCGGTCGCTTGAGGCACGGTTCGGGTTCCAGGACGAGTCAAAACAAGGATGCAGGATGCAAAGTTGGCCTTGGAAGAGTCTGAAGAGAGTTGTCGCGGTTACCCAGGCGTCTGAGAGTCTCTCTGATGCTACTCCCTATTGGGGAGGGGTCTGAATGGCACGTTGGCAGACTTCTGTACCCGGATCGCTCGGAGCAGTTAGGCATTCCTCCTCCTCCTCCCTCGTCCTCCTCCTCCTTCGCCTCCTCATCTTCCTCCTGCAGATGCGTCGACTGAGGCACCTGCACGTGCAGTCAATCGAGTCGCCTGTCCGTTGACGCCAGTACTCTTTCGTCACCCGCAAGGGCGCAAAGTTAATCGCGATTCGCTCGTCACGGTCCGGAGAGTTGTGCTTCTGCATGGGCGACGCAGTGGATAGGAGTGCGGCTTGCCCCTCGCGCAGCGCGGACCGCGACACCAGTGTGAATTACAGCCAAGATGCTGAGCTAGATGCGTACCACCTTGGGCTCAGGAGTAGGGGAACAAAAAGTGACATAGGCATAAAAACTCGGAGGTCCGCGCGGATTTCTCGGGTCGGCACTGGGGCCCCCAGGCGGCGCCTCCGGCGCCGCCCCTGGCGCGCTCCGCGCGCCAGGGAGGGGGCTCCAGCGCGATCCGAGAACACCGCGCGGACCTCCGAGTTTTTATGTCTATGTCACTGTTTTCGGGTGTGGACAGAACCCCCAACAGTGACACGTAGTGACACGTCGATTAGTGAATGGTTCGTTTTCGGTTCTCGAGAGGGCGCCGTGGCCGTTATTTTCCAGGCTTGCGCCCGCCAGGTTTGGGCCTCAGGTCGTTTTCACCGAACCACGTCTTACTAAAGGGGGGTCTGTCCATCCCCGAATCTGGAGTATCACGCCCTCGTTGGTCAGGGCAAGTGGGGGGAAGAGGCTCGTGGTCCGAGGTCTTACATTTGGAGGTCTTCGGGCGCCTTCGTAGCTCCGTGGGCTCTCGGCAGTTTCCCAGCGTCGGCGGCTGCGCCTCGCCGAGCGCGATTTTTGTTCCCCTAAGAGGAGGAGGAGGAGGAGGAGGAGGAGGAGGAGGAGGAGGAGGAGGAGGAGGCGGAGGCGGAGGAGGAGGAGGAGGAGGAGGAGGAGGAGGAGGAGGAGGAGGAGGAGGAGGAGGGAGAAGGGAGGAGGAGGGAGACGGGAGGAGGAGGGAGGGGCTCCCGTCTTCGGGCCGCTCCTTCGCTCTGGACCTGGGAGCCCGCTCGTGGCCGCGGCTCGCCGTGGCCAGGCGAGCCCCCCGCCGTTCCCGCTGCGGCGCTCCTGCTGGCAGCGCGACGGCCTCCCCCCTCGTCCTCCTCGTCCTCCTCGTCCTCCTCGTCCTCCTCCTCCCTCCTCCTCTCCTCATCCTTTTCCCATCCTTTTTCCTCCTCCTCCTCCTCCTCCTCCTCCTCCTCCTCCTCCTCGTCCTCCTCCTCGTCCTCCTCCTGCTCCTCCACCTCCCTCTCCTCTTTCTCCTCCTCCTCCTCCTCTTTCTCCTCCTCCTCCTCCTCCGCCTTCTCCTCTTCCTCCTCCTCCCTCTCCCTGTATCCGGGGCTGCCCTCGAGCCCCAGTGCTCGGCATTCGGCCACGGTCTCGTCGCGGGGGCCAGCGCTGATGGGGGTGGGGGCTCCAGAGGTCCTTCCGATGCCTCTCGATGTCCCCCAGAGGTCCCTGGAGTTCTCTGCAGGTCCCCTGAGGTCCCATGGGAGGCCTCCAGAGATGCAACTAACAACAGAAACGTCCAAGTCCTCGATCCTAGCCCGTCCCTCCGAGGCTGGGGAGGAGGAGGGCGTGGACTGCCTTGGGTGGCCCTGGAGCTGTCCTGGACGCGTTCCCGGGTCGTCTCGGAGCTGTCTTGGGAGCGTCTTGGCCAGTATTGTGGCCGTCAAGCGCGTTGGGTGAGAGCCAGACGAGGGCAGCAATTCTGCCAGCATGATGGGATCCCCCAGAAAGCTGCAGAGGCCAAGCCAGACAGCATAGGGGCATGAGCCATCGGTCGTTGAAAGTACGTATTTTGTGACTCTCAGATTCCAATCTACTTTAAGCGCCTTCCTACTTCAAGAGTCGAGTGGTTTCCCCTCATCCCTCCTCCTCAGGAGGCGGGCGGAAGCCCAATCTACTTCCAACGCCTTCCTACTTTATGGTTCTACCTACTTATTCCGACCGATGGGTACAACTTTCCTCTGCGTGCCCGAAGGCACCAGATGTGCGGGCTGTGGGCAGCGTGCGCGGCTTTACCGTGACGGCTTTTAGAGTTGCCGGGCTGCTCTTAAGGTGCCTGTACCTTCAGCCCTCGGTAGCAGGCTGCGTAAAGTTTCGGGGCGACGCGTTTGAATCGCAGCTGGCCCGCCGCCAGTGCTGCTGACGCTCAAGTCGGTTCATTGCATGGCAATCCTAGGATTGCGGCAGCGTGTTGTTGCGTGCATGCTGGGTTGGAGAGCGTGTCTGTCACAATGCTTGCCATCACAAAAGGTATCAATCGCTGCTGCTCACCCCGCCAGTGTATTCGCGTGAGCGAACATGCGAGGCCGTCAGCATTGCAGCCAGTGCCTTTTTTGGCATGCCAGTGCCTCAGGCACGAGTTGTGCGTTTTTGGATGGAGATGATGTTTGGCGGACGGTTGGGCGTTGACCAACGGGGTGGCTTTCGGCAATATCGGCTGGCAGCGGAAAGCATTATAACAAACCGACCTTGTGAAACCGAAAAGGTGCCCCAACGCGAAGGACAATTTCCTCCAACTGCCACGACGCCAAGAATCGTGTTTCGGTCATCCGAATTCGGGTTTCGCTAATAACCCACTTTGATGTTGGTAATATCCCATGCGGGTTTCGATGACACACACGCGGGGAGCTGCCCTGGAATCCTCGAATGGCGGGGTGGTAGAAAACTACAGGAATGGGTTCTGACGATCGTGATTCGGGGGATGCGTAATCGAGAAAATGAGAAGGAAGGCTGGATCGAGGGGAAGAAAGACGAATAGAAAACATGGCGGAAGGGACAACGAAAACATACCATCATCGAGCATCTACCATAGTAGCCATAGGCAGGAAGTGATAGCCCGAATTGATCATGAGAGCAGAAGACGGAAATATGATGGGAACCCGAGGTTGTAATATTCTTGAAATTATATTTGGGAAAAGGAGCCGTTATCAACGAACAGCAGGCCAGAGAAACATATTGAAACGTTTGCGTACCATTACTGAACCCTGTCATAACCCTTGCTGGATCCCTGGGGTTCATATTCCCTCAGTTCCCATGTCCGTTTTCTTCGTGTTGTCCCCAATCCAGTGTTGTAAGTGTTTCTACGTTTTTTCTCAGTTGTTTCCAATTCGCACCCGCAGCTGCGATATTAAATGTCATGCCACCTCTTGAACAATATCATCTTGAGCTGTTGTTTGCAACGCATCGGGGACGGACACTGCAGCATTTTCTGTTTTATTCTGGGCTTGGTTTTCGAAAACAGACATCACATGAACTTCATATATACCACGCTCATGCATTTCAAGGGTTGGTGGGGACGTTCGATGTCCTGAATACATTTTGTGCCACGCTTTTGTCTGACTATGAAGTCGGACACTTAACACATTTATATATGAAAGTCGTTTCACTTGGTTTTGTTCCTTCGTATGGGTGAATTTGGCAAAAACAACAGCCGTCGGAGAATATGGGCCCACCGCGAAATAGGCCGACCACGCCAAGAATGGTTCAAGGGAATACGTTAAATGTCGAAATGCGTGTGTTTTTTCTTTGTATTTTTTCGTCTGGCTCTTCTTGTTTATCTTGTTCGGTATGTCCGTCCGTTTAAGCACGTCTTTTGTTGGTACATCTTTTTTTCGAAATGTCTATCACGATTCTGCATACGGACCCCCGCTTCGATTTTGATCGTCCAGGTGACGTGCGGGCCGCCGCAATTTTACCCACGAAATGATTACGATGGCTAGTTTGATGGATGCGGGAAGCCATGGTTGGAAGTACAAGAGTGGGTGGTCGACGTGCGCAGTGTCCTCTTAGTATTACGAGCAAATGGGGGCCAATTTTTGTTCACGCACGACTAACCTCCCACAGCAGACCCCGACTATCGACCAGCAAGGCGGTGAACAGCGCAGGATGCAAACGGCATCCCCGGCGATACAGTGAAGCCCTAAACAGACGTACAGGAGGAGGAGGACGAGGAGGAGGAGGAGGAGGAGGATTTGGAGGATGAGGAGGAGGAGGAGGAGGATTTGGAGGACGAAGGAGGAGAAGCGCAGCTCACAAAGCCTGCAAATCTGCCATACGCCAGACAGGCTCACGCTGCGCTCGCGGAGGGTCCCCTCCTGCTCCAACGATGCATCTAGCCTCTGTTGTCTGCAGGGCGATGCCTAAGATGCCCCGCCATCGTCGCAAGAGGCAGAGCGCAAATCCCCAGCGGATGCGTGGGTGGGCATCACGAGCATGTTCCCGGGCGAGAGTGGGCGCTGAAGCGACGGTCTGTGCACCCCATCTACCGAAGACCTCAGCGCCAAGACTCTCAAGACGTCCCAGTCCACTATCCACCACTTCGGCATAGGTATTGCTGCTGTCTCGGTGTGCCCTGTCTAATGAAGATTCTCCCTGGTTGCTCGTGCCACTTGGCGCCGTACCATTCTGTGAAATAGGTGCCAGAACGGTCACGTCGCAAAATGATGGCAACCCCCTCGCAACACTTATTCTTGCGACCACCAAATAAAGTCGTCACATGTCGTGCGGGGGTACAGGGATGTGCGTGGTATGTAAGAGTCGCTCAATATTACGATCGGGCACGTGCCCTCCAGCTTCCAAGACAAGTTGTCGCCACGCCGCTACTAGTTCTGAGTGGCGCCCGTGGAGCCCTGCGCTGGTCGTTTCTGTTAACCGAACGTGTCCATGAGGATCAGGACCGTCAATTGCACAAGTGATCCCCAACCTCCGCCGTGCAGCACAGAGAAAATACGTGTGTGTCAATAACGGTTGACCGTTCAGTTATGAAGCAAACCAATAGCCTTTCAGCCGCACACGGTCCCATAGTTGAATGTATCCGAGCTTTTCCCGCCGCCCGTGCATTCGCCCGACGATTGGGCAAATCAAGATCTCGAAGCAATTGCGCATGAGCATCTCTTTCCATCGGGTCATATGCCATTCGCGACGCCATTCGCCAAGTGTGTCGTCGGTGGGGTCTGGAACAGGTGGTCGTTGGCCTGCCGCCACAGCAATCCACGTTGGACGTTCCGATCATGTTGTTGTTGCAAATTGCCGTCCTGCGTGTTCCGCGGCCTGCGCGCACGCAGGAACATTCGGAGGGACCGGCCCCGTCGCATTCGCATTTTCTGCCGTAGGAAGGTGATGGAGCATGCGGCGGCCTAGGGCCAGGAACCGGGCGAGCAGTCCAGGGAGGGCGTCAGCCCAGCTGGCCCAAAAGGTTGATATGGATGTTCTCTGCGAGTGGCGTCCATCCCCGCCAGTCGGAGCGGGACGCGTGCTTGGGGTAATGAGCGCCTTGAGATTCAGGATCCCACTGTTCTTCAGACGGTAGCCCAAGTATGTTTTTGAAGGCCGCCAGAATGTCACAGTCGTGGTCTATTGCCAGTGGTTGATGCTGGGGGCAACGTTGTTAGGATATGGTTCATCCTAGCAACAGCACCGGTACAAAATGAGCCAGGCGGCCTGCCTGGAGGGAGGCTTAGGCAATCTGTTCAGTAGTTGCGCCCTCGCAGCAGACAGTTTCTTCCAACATGCATCCATGCATTCTGCAGAACCAAATGGAGCCCCAAGAACTTTCAACCCCCTCTCCGCAGGTGGACGATCCGATTTCCATGCCGTGGCAATTGCTTTGGCGACTCTTTCTTGGCACGGTCGAGCTTCGTTGCCCCAGACGGCCAATTCCCCCCATATTCGTGTCAACGTGGCATACGGTCTTGAGCGTGTGCTCCGCAAGGCCGAGCACACATTCCAACCACAGACGACGTACACATCATCAAGGTCTGCAGCAATTTCTCCTCCAGGTGGACGACGGTCCCGGATCAATCGGATAGCGGGGTGCAGGGCCAAGCGAACGAGCGTTGGCATTTACGCATCTCTTTGTTCGCCCCTGTCCCCTTGTAAAATCCGGTGAGCCTTGCCGTTGTCATCCGTTCATTGGAATTCCGACACATCCCCATAAATTGTCGTATGGAAGGCATAAGTTGGTGCAGCGCTAGATTCAATAAGAGCTCGTCAAACATTCTTGCCCTGCACACGTGGTCGAATACCCCCGCCCCGTCGATGCTGACAATCACTTTATTTGGGAATGCGTCCGTCATATACAGTAAAAACGGATTGTTGCGTCCGTCCCATTCCGATCGCACAACCTAGAATCACGCGGCCAAGCTGCGTTCCGGAATTTAGTTTGAAATTGTTTGGCTAACGATTTCGACACTAAACGTCGGAGGGTATCCCTTGCCGAGATGCCTCGTGTTCGGTTGCTTGGTTTTTTGAGCACTCACTGTCAAATCAAAGTCGAAGTCCTCAGCATATCACGTATATGTTCTGGTAGCTCTGTTCGTGCCACGCGCTCTGCCACATCGCACAATCCATCGAAAGCCTCCTCCTCCTCCTCCTCCTCCTCCTCCTCTTCCTCCTCCTCCTCCTCCTCCTCCTGCTCCTGCTCCTGCTCCTCCTCCTCCTCCTCCTCCTCCCTCCCCTGCTCCTCCTCCTTCTCCTCCTCCATTCGTACCGCCGACCCCAAAGACCAGCGCTCAAACAATGTCGTGATAGTCGCAAGGTCGTTGGGAGACATCCCGGTCCACTACCACTTGTTGTGCTCGGCTCCAAATGTTGCAGCCCAGCGGGCCCAGCCTCAGAGGGTGCAGGTTGGCGGAGAGCCGCGCCCGTCAACTCTGCATGCGTGGCCGGGGCCCCAGTGGCGAGGCCTGTTGATGTGAGATTCCGAAATGCACGGCTCAGTGCAGCTTTCTGTATCATTTTGATAGCACTGTCGATTCGCTTCGTTTCGTTACTGAAGGTTACGTTGCGACTGGCAGTTTGATCGATCGAAGGTCAACGGTTGATGCCAATCATTTTGATCGAACAACGCAATACGATGCTTCAATTCCCGCTTCCCCGCTTTTCCCTTGTGTTTTGTAGGAAATAGAAGCATACGTGTCCATGCTTTTGTGCACGACGCTACCGCCTTGCCATTCGTATTGCTAGGTTGAGTCCGGTGTGTCATTTCCATTTTTGTAAAACATTGTACCAGAATCCGTCAGCGTGTTTCAGTACACCCTGGTGGTGCTGGTGGTGGATGGCATAGGCGCGGGGTGATCGTACCGCAATCCGTTTACACCTTATCGAATAAGTAGAGCCTGAATGCGGGGTCAAGCATGCATTCGTACATTCACCATCGATTGTCCCATAACCGCCCCCCGCCAGACTGTGTAGTTGTTTTCTACATGTCCATTGCGGCCCACAGGAGGGGATTATTGAATTGCGACCAGCG